TTATTATTTCGATATCATATGAATAAAACAGTTGTGCATCAATTCTATGTAATTTTAAGTACTTTCTCTATTATAAACAACAAACAGTTATTAAGCATGATTAATATTATGCATGTAGTTTGCATAATATATGTATCGTACGTATAACTTATGAGAAAAAGGCAGCAAATCCAGGAAATGGTAAGATCTAAAATTTTAAGTTAATATCATTAAATTATAATATAAATCGATAAGCTATTTAATTAATAGGTATATTTTGTCTAATTTGAGATGTATTTTGCAGTGTTACATGCGAGCTCTTTTCGATTATTACCCGAAAGAAGATTCCTTATTGCCTTGTAAAGAAATTGGTTTAGAATTCCAGAAAGGAGATATATTACAGGTATTAAACCTTTCATGTGCACATTTCTTATAACGATTATTTTTCTTTCCTTAATTTTTTTAAGATGTTCAAAGGTATTTAATTTACTATAGATAATGTTCATTTTATTGCCCAATGTACTAATCCCATTGTTTTTTCGAACGTGGCGGCATGTTCGAGCCTAACAAATTTTATGCCCCTATCTTCTTCTACTTGTCACTAATAAAATAATTCCTACCCTACTATAGGTACTAAGCTAGTTATAAGAAATTTATTCAGCCTGTACGAATACCTTGACCCGAAAACATCTAATATATCTTACTAAAATTGAATACATTACATTTCTACAAACAATTTCTGAACTAGTTTTTATTTTCTGGTCTGATATAGCCTTTTTGATAATTAATTATATCTGGTTCTTTGCAGCAATAAAGTGTCCGTGTGTAGTGTTTTTTTTTTTGTTTTTAAGTTTAGTATAGATAGTATTTATTTGGTAACTGATGTGAATGGTTCTAATGCGTACCAAAATGAATAAATTTCTTATAACTAGCTTAGCAGTTAGCACCTATAGTAGGGTAGGAATTATTTTATTAGTGTCAGATAAAAGAAGGTGCATAAAATTTGTGAGGCTCGAACACTAGTTATATAATAAATATATTATAATATGCTAGAAATATAAATAGATTAAATTATAGTATATATCTGGCGACTAGGTTACTATTGACTATTTTTAATAAATATATTTTTAATTTTTTAGATAGTAGATAATAAAGACCCAAATTGGTGGCAAGCCAAGCACGTCGGAGGCTTAGGACCTGCAGGTTTGATACCATCTCAAGAACTCGAAGAAAGACGACAAGCATATGTCGCTCCCGAGGCTGATTATGTACATAAAATTAGCATATGTGGAACAAGGGTAAAAATTATTTTGTATTATATTTATTTTAAATTTGAATTAATTGAATAATTGGTAAAATTGTGTAATAATTAAATTGAGAAATCATTTTGTTGTTTGCTCTCGATTTTTTCTAGATATCTAAGAAGAAACGAAAAACAATGTACCAATCACACAGTAACAACCAGTTCGACAAAGCCGATATCATGTGCTATGAAGAAGTGACCAGAATGCCTCCTTTCAAACGAAAAACATTAGTTTTAATTGGATCTCAGGGTGTAGGCAGAAGGACGTTAAAAAATCGACTGATAAATAGCGATCCGAATAAATTTGGAACCATTGTGCCTTGTAAGTTTATTTTGAAAATAATATTTTTCACCGGAGATATCAGATTAATTCTGTTTTTAATTAATCAAGGAGATGCTAATATTCTATTATTATTGTTACCAGGGACGTCTCGACCTCCTAGAGTTTTGGAAGAAAATGGGCGCAGTTATTGGTTCGTGGATCGAGAGACTATGGAGAACGAAATCAGGGAACACAAATTTTTGGAACATGGAGAACATAATGGCCATCTTTACGGAACACATTTAGACACAATTCGGGATGTCATAAAACAAGGTTTATATTTTTTAAAAATTGTATTTGATCAAGCCTATATTGACTCAAAATTCTAACCAGCTTTGAACAACCAGTTTCTAAATAAATCATTTTATATGATTTTTTTTTTCAGGAAAAATGTGTGTTTTAGATTGTGCGCCAGGTGCACTGAAACTTTTGCACAACAGCACAGAATTTATGCCTTATGTAGTTTTCATAGCAGCCCCTGGAATGGAGCAGCTCCAACAGATGTATAATCACTTCAGATCAACAGGAACATCTAGTCGCAACCTCACGGTATGTATTTTGTAAAAAAATAAATCTAATGTATGCTTGTTGTTGTTAAAATAAAATAGCTAAGATTTTTTAATGTGCAGTTTGCATTTCAAATAAAAATTGTTAATGATTTTTGAAAAAAATAACGAGCATTTTAGATAATTATTTTAGGTGTCTGAACTTGAATTCAGAATTTTGCTTGTGATGCTGCAGAATTTTATAAATTTGATAAAATTAATAATGCATTTTTGATATTAAAAATTGGCATTAAAATCGTTTGTTGACGTCGATTAGTGCATCTATACTTCTGTACTCTTTATGAGAGCTGAAAATAGTCTTATTTTTTTATTTATTAGTCAAATTTTGAATGAGCATAATTCATAAGTTTTTATAACATATTCTATGTCTTTGATGTACGTGCAATAAACTCTCTTTTCTCATAGATGCAAAAAAATAAGGCTGCCAATAATTTTATAATAATTACTAATCTAACTCATTATTAATTTTTAAACAATTTAAATATTGAATGAATATGATTTGTAAATCATTATAAATAATTATCTATGCATGATATATATCTAAAAAATATAGATAATTGTATATATTTATCATAAATGAGGCCTGATTGTTATATTGCATGGTCAAATTTTAATAATATTGAGACTCAGAGTGATATATAAGTTGAATAAAATTTGAATGAATTTCTAAGATAATATTTTGCATATAGAATAGATTAATTTGTATAAATGTTGCATGTGTTATGTTTTTGTTAATTGTTTGTTTCATGTGGCATGCCATGAGCAGTTTGACAGACAAAGTTCCATCAGATACAGTTCGAGAAGGGCCAGGACCCTTGAATCTCTTGCTTCTTTGTACGAGGTAAGAAATTATTGAAAATAATAAAATAATAACCATAAACGGTATTTGACTAACTACGTTACCCAAAACCAATTACATATTCATTACTTAGTCACTATTTTAGCTTTCTATAGGCCGATTTTTTGTTTTACATCCAAAAAAATTAGGAAAACAAAAAATCTGTTTTTTTTTTTTTTTTTTTTTTTTTTTTTTTTTTTTTTTTATTTATTTACATATATACATTATTTTCATATCTCAGTCAGACAGAGGTGCCTGGTATGAGAGATTATGAAAAACAGTTTTCATATAATATTTACATTTCATTTGACTATAATATCTATTTCATTAATATAATATCTATATATAACTCTTCAGTCTTCTTTTCTTCAATTTCCATATAGTACTTCTTTATTTTTCTTTTAAAATTATCATTATCATTGGTCATCTTAATATAGTCTGGCAATTCGTTATATATTTTGGTAGCACTCCATATGACATTTTCTCTCAAATTCTTTTTTCTATTGCGTTCAATGTGAAATTGTTGTGTTGTCTCGTGTAGTGTTCATGTATATCTTGATTTGTGTCTATTGTTGCACTTGTTTTAATTCGGTTAAATTTCATTTTGTGTATTAGTTTGCATTTCTCTATTTTAATTATGTTATTTAGTGAATGATTATTTGTTTCTCTCTGCAAGTATTTGGTGGGTGTTAGATGTGGTAAATTATATGCTATTTTTATGGCTTTATTCATTATTCTCTGTATGTCATTTAGGTTTGCTTTAGTTGTTTGGCTCCATGTTGTTATGCCATATAAAATTATAGGTATTATTTGCGTTTTAAGAATTAGTATTTTATTTTTTTTGCCGAAAGAGTGGATCCTTTTCAATGCCCCTGTTAATGTTCCTATCTTTCTTTTTATTTTGTTTATATGGTCTGTCCATGTCAGTTTTTCATTTATTATCAGTCCTAAGTATTTTATGCTTTCCACTTCCTCTATTGCTCTATTATTTACTTCAATTTTTAGTTTAGTGTTCTCAGTATTTTTTCTATGTTTGAAATATATGTATTTTGTTTTATCTATGTTAATTGTTAGTTTATTTTCAGTTAGCCACTCGGTGTATATTTTCATGTCCGTGTTTATAATATCTTCGAGTCTTTTTTTATCCTTATCCGCATATACTATCGCTGTATCGTCTGCATATAATATGTATCTTCCCTTTAATTTTGCGTCTTTAAGGTTATTGGTGTATAATAGATACAATAAAGGTCCTAATACAGAAATATTTATAAGGCAATATATGCAAACGCAAAACAAAATCTCTGTTTGAACAAAATTTGTGTTATAAATAAACTATTTGACTCTTCCAAGTCACAGCTTATAATGTTCGGTATGAAAATGTTATTTCAGGTTCAAAAGCCTAGCCAAAATTATAGATATTAATATTGGTTGTCTTGATAATATTGTAGGATAAAGATTTATGCATAATTTCACAAAAAAAATTATAATTATTCATTAAAATATAAAAAAATAATTAGAATGTGACTTGAAAGTTATGAGGGTCCCTAGAGTGTTAAGATAGTCAGCTCTTTCTGCTAGAAAAAATATAGCAATTGTCTTTGTTTTTGATAAATATTTTTGTTCATAAGAGTAATAGGATGATAGTTTGCAAAAAGTTAGTGATCTACTAAAATTAAGTTCCATCTTTTTTATGGCAAAAATTAGGGGGTGTCCATTAATCACGTGAGCTTTTTAGGGGGACAGGGGGTTTGACAAAAAATTAGGAAATATCATGTGGGGGAAGGAGAGGTATAGTAAGATATCACGTGTATTCATTTTTTACCTGATTTTTTTTAAAACAATCCAAATATTTAAAAAAAAATCAAACATTTAACCATTTTTTCTCGTAACTAAAAATACAGGTGATGGTTTGGTAGGAGAAGGGGGGTAATTTTGAATAACACCATCAATCACAAAGGGGGAGGGTGGTCCAAAAATCTTTAAGAAGTGGAACACGTGATTAATGGACTCGCCTTTATGTGAACATCGTATGTATAAAACGCTATTTTGAGATATTTTTGTTATAAAACATTATACTTGTTTAAAATATTTTTTAACGAAATGAACTTTCCATAACTCTTAAATAAAAATATATTCCCAATAAACAGTATACCTGTTTAAAGTATAAATTTGAATATTTGCAACATTACATAATATTATGATTATTTAATTTGCATGATTGAACTTGAAAATTCAAATATTAACAAAAAGTTGCAAATTATAAATAGTTTTGCAAAATGTGCAGCTTGTTTGATCAAGTGCGATACAATTATGCTTAGTTGGCAATGTAATAAAAGTGGGTCAAATTTGATCACATGGTTCTACTATGGTTACTATCAAATCAGGGGCTTCCAACAAACAGTCCAAATGTTGATGTATTGATGAAAATAAGTTAATATCGCAGAAGAAAATTTTTGCTAAAATTAAAATTTAGTAATATATTGCATACTGACTTTTATTAAAGCACTGAGCATTTATTAAAACTTGCAGTGATATGAATTTTAATAAATTTTTCTATAAATAATATTTTCCTTTCTTTCATATTTTTTTAAGAACAAGAGTAATTCAATGTCTGATTATTTAATTAAAAAAACAGTAAATTGAATAATTTTGTAAAAAATAGAAATATCATTTTTCATTTTACAATAAACCCCGCCGTGGTTTCCAGACTGTGGGGTGCTCAGAGGGCGTACAGCTGTTTCCAAAATACTATTATCAAAAATAAAAAAAAAATGTAATTATATAAAAAATTTAACAAAAAAATAATTATTTTTATGCATATTTTTATATATTATTGCATATTAATTTGTAGCCTGATAATACTAGTTTAGTATTTATGAAACGAAAAGGATGAAAAATCAAAGGAGCGCAACATTTTTTTGGTAAAACGGCGAAAAAGGTTGTAAACCACGACTCTTATTACTACATACATAATAAAAAATATTATTTCATATATTCGATTTATCCAAGTGCAAAATAATTTTACAAGAGTTGGTCATACCTGATATTCTGTACCCATTTAATTTGTAAGCGATTACACAGATATGAAACTTAAAAAAATTTTAACATCAATCAGACTCTAGTAAAAGATAAAAGTTACGGCACAGGTCAAGATCGTCACTTCTATACTGAGGTCATCAATTAATTGCATCTGCAATTTCTATTAAGTAAAGAGAGAGTTTTAATACACTCTTCAGATCTCATTTTATTATGTTCAATGGAAAAGATTGAATAAAGAGTTATATGTATTGAAAAACCATTCATTTCATTAAGAAGTTAGGGGCGTTAATTATGTAATAGATCTTAGGATTTTTGGATTTTCTTGCTCTTGATGATACACAGTGATATTTTAAATTAAACCCCTTCCTCCCTATCTGACATCACGTGTATTTTTAGTTTTAGTAAATTTGTTTTTTTTTTAATTCAGGTGAAAAAGAAATGTATGTAATATTTTACAACTCATTTCGTAACTTTTTTTGATAATCTACCCACCTCCTCTTTTTAATCCACATATTTCATACGCAAAATGACCAACATTATCAAAAATTACTATTTTTTCGTGGAGATTTTAAAATAACCTAGCAATATTTTAACTCTTATATCATCTTCGTAAATCATTGTTAAATTTCAAAATACCGTTGTGTAATGTTAAAAGTATTGCCGAATAATTACATATAAAATTGCGGGTCATTCGTAGTCAAAATTATACTGTTAGGAATTCATTAGAAAGTTGTCGGTGTAAATCGTGAACTCGTTACTCCAGATAACATAAGAAATAAATAAAAAGTTAAAGTCGATGAATTTGATATGTAGATTTTGATTCAATGAAAATTATTTCATGTTCATATTCTAGTGCCACATCTTTACCAATAATATTGGTGTATTATAAATAAAGATGAATAGATGCTGTAATTATTTCTCTACTGAACCCAGTAGAAAAAAAATTATAACTATTGTTTATTATTTCACAATTAAAAATTAATTTTCTAGAAAAATTGTAGAGTTACAATTTACCCTGTCAATAATACCTACTATTATCAATGCATCATTTTTACTTGCATCTGTATGTAATTTTGCATATTTAGAAGGTTTTGTTTCAACTAACCCCAGTCAATAATATTACAGCGAATCGAAATTTCTTGATAGTATAATTTCATATTACATGCCAAAAGATGACGGATCTGCACAGTTCTGTATATTGCCTCGGCTTGCTGGACAGTAACCGAAACAATATTATGCAAAACGATTTACATGTCCAATTCAGACAAAAAATAGTTTAATATCGTTAAAGATCCTAATGAAAAGCTCCTGTTACAATAAGCCCCTAGCTTCTCATATACATATTACTATTTATATGCAAAATTAAGAGCAGCCGATCTTAAAATTTCATGGCAATTTTGAAAAATAGATTTTCTTCCTACTTTCCTAATCTAGTGCAACTTTGTTTCGTTTTTTTAAACATTTTCTATAATCTTTTAGGCAATTTTAATATTTTTTTAAAAAAATTACAAATCCGATTTTTATCTCATCTTAACAGGAAGACGATTTAAGAAGAACAGTTGAAGAAAGTGCTTGTCTTCAAAGAACATACGAAAAATACATCGATATGTCGATCATCAATGAAGATTTCGATACCACATTCAGGGCAGTCGCCGAAGCTTTGGAAGCTCTCAGTTCGGAGCACCAATGGGTTCCTGTAAACTGGATATATTAGCTGGTAATAATCTAAAAAAATATATTTTTTGTAAATATAACGAATACGTGAAAAATTTTGTGGACTAATAAGAAGAGACCCTAAGCTATAATCTTTTTTAGTTGTGTACCCATAATGACTAGTACCTCCAACTTTTGTAGGTATAATATCACAACTACAAAAGTTATGAATTATTATCATTTATATTGCCAATAGAAAGAATTTTCGATTTCGATTATAATTTCAATTCGTGTATGAATGTATAATCATATAAGATGAACAACGACATAACTTTTAAACATTTTAAATAGATTATTTAAATATCTAATATAAAGAATATCCAAAATTCGGAGTTCTATTTCAACCGTTCTTGAAAAACGAACTCAGATCATTTAGTGTAAAAACATTAAAGTTTTTTGTTATAAATACATATATTTTGTATATGCATATTGTTATGCAGAATTTTAACAGTGTTTTGAATTATTTTATAATATATATAATAATAGTATTTGCAAAATTTAACAATACTACGTTAGATAAATCTTATTGATAAATAAAGACAAATACCTAGAGTAATAAATTTTTGTATTAGTTTTGCAAAAACATAGTATTAAAATTATTGAAACCTTGATGAAATCTGTTATTATTTGGATCATTTTTAAACATCTGTTTGTTTAAAGATGAATTTAAATATAACGATTGATAATAAGCATTTAAATTAATTTAAATAATTTGAATAAAATTTATTTGAAATAGGAGTAAATAAAAATATACTGCCCATATAAAATATGTAAATATAGCTTAAATACGATTTCCAATCGCTATATCATTTTCTCATAAGCTATATAATTATATACATAAAGAGTCTATTAATTATTTTTATTATTCATTATTTTAATTACGAGTTATATAAAAGCCTATGTACTACTTATATTGTTAAGATTATTATATATAGAAAGAGATTTGATTAGGTATGATCTCAATATCCTAAAAATTCAGTATCTGGTTTCTGTAAATCTCGAATGCATCTTTTCTGAAATTTGTTGGCAAATTTTGGAAAATTTGACTAAATATGTATAGGAATATGCATGAGTTATAAATATTTATACAAGATAAGAAATATGTATATGCTCCCAGTATTAACTATATAAAAAGTTTATAAAAAAAATTTTTATTTTATAATTTTTATGAGAGACTGCGGAATAGTTTTTTTTATATAAAATGTTAGATTTTATTTGTTTTGCCATTTTTATTACTTAAAACGCAAATAAATAATTTTAAAAATGCTTTTACACTATGATACTTTTCTTGTTTTTATACTACAAACTTTAGAACTACAATTCGAAATAGGTTACATAAGTTAAATTAAAAGAAAAAAATATTAATGTTAGAGATATTTTGCATAATTTTGTGAATTTATATTTTCCAACGCAAGTACTAAAACCGTTGATGTATAAAATTATAAACTTTACATATCCATTAATTAATTCTGGTAACTTCAATTAATATATTAAACAAACTATTTTTATAAATTTTCAAATTGTAAAAATATCTACGCATAAAATATTTCATATTATTACCTAAATTACGTAAAATATATTGTAAGATATAAAAATCTATAATCTTATTGCAGTATTTTATGAACCAAGTTTATTATTAAATTAGTTACTGTTACTTCTGTTATAATTATAATATTTTCTTTAGAATTGTGTCATTTAGCAATATGTTATACCTTAATAGTTTAAAGTAAAAAAAAAAACAAGCAAATATTTATGCAACTTAATTCTGGTAATTAATTCAATCATGCACCATTCTGTCACTAAAATGTGGCTTTTTAATTAAATATATACATAAAAATTTTAATTACCATTTTGACATCTTCTACAAAAAAATATCTATCATTAAAGTTGTTAAGTTTAGTGATACTTAAATCGTTGCGATTTATATATAAATATGATATATGTTTGAAATAACTAATTGCCTGAAGTATGTATAGATGTAAGCTGAAATAGAAAGTTTATTTAAGTTTAATTAAACATTCAAAGTAAATAATATTTGCCATTGTTAATAACTTATAAAAATTTCAGTAAAATAAATATATTTCAAAACAATATATAGTGGTTTTTCAAATAATTCAGATGGGGCGCTTTAATTCTCTAATTTAGATATGATTAACGTTGTAGTACCCTTTTTTTTTATTTTTGATAATAAATGATGTGTAAATCAAACAATATGTCTAAAGTAAAAAATATAAAATTTATTAATTACAAAATTTTATTATTATGATTTTTGAAAAAATGGCGGAGGAAAAGTTATGAGGACCAAATAAGCCCGAACACATATTTCGAATTATTTATAGTTAAAAAAAGAGTATATTGAAATGATAAATTTATAAATTTGAGTATGATGGATTTATTTGTGATGTGACGAAAATATCTCATTTTAATTCTTTCTTCTCCCTTGTTTAAAAGCAAATTATTTATCTATGGTTTTATTGTCGCATCTTTGCAATAAATAAAATACAGCGATATTCAATTGTTTTTATTTTTTGGTATTAGCATAGCCTGTCAGGTATAGTGAAGATAATTCAGTGAAATAATTGCTCCTTCATAATTATTAGTGCGTTACTGTTAAAACTCTTTAATAAAAATATATACATGTAAGTATTTTCACAGGGCAATATCAAAAAATATTACACTTTATTAAATCATACGGCGAAAAAGTCCATATATTTATTACATGCTATCTTCTATTGATATTAATGTTTCAAGTTGTTAATTGTTAATAAATTTACAAACTACTAGTGGAGTGCATGGCATCGTGCCTTAAGGCAAATTGCTGAAACTTCTCGTACCGTAATTGAAAATCTTGGTACGGAACCCAAAAAAATTTACACAAAATATTTACACAAAATGTGTACACATTATTAAAATCTCTATAAAATATCTGATAATTTGATGTACATATATCCAATAAACATTTTTGACCGCCAAATGACGTTTTTTAACTTATTTTTATTGAGATAATTGCCTTCCCAAAAATTTAATCAGTTCTTCATCTTGTCAATACAAGTAAAATGATTTTTGAATTATTAAAATCGGACGCTCAGTTCTCTTAAAGTGCCTCTCGTTTTTGGCACTTTTTGCCCCGCATCTTCGGAACGGCTAGACCTGCCTTCGCCAAAAACTAATCAGCACGTCACCTCATCAATACGAATCGAATGTCTTATGAATTATTCAAATCGGTTGATCGGTGTTCCCAGAAATCGTCGACGAAAATTTGTTTCCGACACACACACACATACATCCATTTTTTCTAAAGTATGTCGAAATATTCAGAAACCTTTGAAACGTAAAGATATATAAAAATTTTCATTTTCGATTTTTTTGCGATTACTATAACTTACCCTACAGGAAGTTAAAAATTATTCACTATTTAGCTACAAAGCCAGTCAGATCTTCATTTGAGATTGTGTGCCTAAACTCTAAAATATGAGTAAAAATTGCCACCCGGGACATGTAGAAGAATAATAAAAGTTAAAAAATGATATTAAACTATAATAATGTCAATAAGAAAGAGCTACAGGGTTGCTTTCTAAACAGCTATCTGTTAGCTGTAACCGAATGTTTTTGGGTTTTTCAATGTGTAATCGTTAAAGCTATTATTTTCAGTCGAATGCCACCAAAAAAATCTAACCTCAACAACAGGCGGAGCAGGGAGGCTCAACGCAAACGTCTACAAAGAGCTAATCAGTCGGCAGAACAAATTGCAGCAAGGCGTGCAGCAGAAAGACTCAGGATAGCCGCGGTTCGTTCACGAGAATCTCAGGAACAGCGTTGCGAACGTTTGCTGCAGAATGCTCTGAGAAGAAAAGCGGCACAAAGACGAAACATAGTTAAAGCTAGAAAAGAAGAATTGCAGCGGCAGCGGATCTCCTGGACATTAAGACGTGCTGCACTTGTTCCTCTTGAAGTATGTAAAAATTTGCACAAACATTTCGGATTTGCTTGTACAGTAGACGACCAATTTATGTGTATGTACTAGAGATGGGCTTATTATATCCGAAGCCGGATCGATTCGGATTTGACTCCGCTTCATGGTGAAGTTATGTCCGCTAAACAACTCCACGACTCCGACAATTTTGAAACCGAAATAGTCGAAACAAATGTGTTCTATAGTACGCTGTTTATGTATCTAAGGATTTGTCAAATCCCATTAATTATTTGAAATAAAAATTTATGAATAATTATTAATAAAATTTCTTTTGATGAGAAAATAATTGATTTTTTGGACTAATTTTATATAAAAATAATGTAGTTAACTTTGTAATAAAAGCAAATCATTTATCAGCAAATAATACTTCTGCTTTCTAATTTTTTCTTCTGCTATTTCCATTCGAGAATTAATATTATATCGGGTAGTTCTATTAGCATATTATTGCTTTTACGCAATTATATAATTGTGTAAAAGTAAAAATTTAATACTATATATTTTTTTGCTGCTTAAATACTATTGACGTCACTGATATATTTTGCACTCTAAAGTATTGTTATTTCAGGCTATGGAAAAACCAGATTAAATGTATTTTGTTTCGTGTATTTTTCGGTATGTATATTCTTGATTGCCGTCATTTACGGCCAAAGATTGTCGTAGTTAAAAATATGACCCCTTACTATTATTAAATTATACATTTGAGCTATTCACACTTGAATACAATTTCATTGTTCTGTATCTTTGAAGTAATATTTTTGTATTTTCTGAAAAAAAACGTATACCTAAAAGGTCATAAAACTGCCTGTGAGACGAGAAAGCGATAGCTTCCTTCCCAAAGCAAAAACGCAGTAACAGTTTTAGTACCAGTTTAGGGAAGTCGGATATGACAAATCCGGTGAGACAACTCCACTCGGATTCACTCCGAGGGAGGAGTTGTATCGGAGTGATAACTCCGGAGTGAGTTACCCATCTCTAGATGTACATACCTACAATTCGAATTTTTGCATGATTAATGCTAAAGTTTAGTATATATATATACATACTTAGTGTAAACTAAAAAGATATATATGTGCATATATAAGGAAGTTTTAATTTCTTAATAAACCTTACTTTCGTTGATATTTATGTATGTATTTGCTATTGTTATTAAATACACAACATTATTCTTCATACATTCGATTATCTGGATTTCCGATTATCCGAATGCCTATTGACAACAATTAGTATGGTTAATCGAAGTTCTACTGTACATTCAAATTGTAATATCTTATATATGTGTGTGTGTAGTCGTGCATATCCTCCACATCTTTAAGCATTAATTTATGGGGGAGGATCAAGAATGCCTATTTAGTGCCATTCGCTCTCCTTTTTTCTATGTAACACAACTCCATGAGGACTTTCTTTAATAAACCGATTTTACTTTAATTAACGCGACTTGTGCAATTTCATCCGAGTCTAAAGAGCAATTTCATTCGACTCTAGCTTTTATCTCTATTAAACCTAGAGAAGAAAAGCGATTGTGATATTATTAAATTTTTTTATAAGATCAGAATTAACCAATTTCAAATAAGTCTCGCCACGATTCCTAATGAGCCACTATCGAATCATGCCAAAGGGCGATGAAGAGCTATTAGATGAATATCCTGGTAGATGCACCATCCAACTTTTGTGGGGTTGGTGGGCTCGCCCGCAAGTAAGAGGTTAGGAGCGACAGGACTTGTTTCAGAGGTCCCCGGGTTCGAAACCCACTTCGAGCAGCCTGTTGTCAGGCAGCAGTGACAACGATTTTTACTTGGAAATATAGATAACAATATGTTTCCAAGTAAAATAGCCTTCACCCGGCATTGCTGCACCATTAAAAATACTCACCCTAATACAGAAATTGTAATAATAATATATCATGCAGAGATGTGACAACTGATTGGGTTGCCATATGTCAAACAGACTAGTATTAAGTCAAAATCAGCATAACAGCTTATAGGACTATTCGGTTCTGATTGCTGTTCAAAAAATAATAAAAAAAATAAGTTTGGTGATTCAGTAGACCAAAAAAATAATAAATATTTCAAGAAGAGACAACACTGCCAAAAGAGACGTATATTGATGGTTATCTAATAAACATTGACAGTTATGCAATGTACCACCGAAGAAATACTGATAAATGATAGTCAAACATTTGCAATGCGACTGCCCAATATTACAAATTCTGTAATGCCCAATGTTTGAAACTATGGGCTGATATCAATTTCAGACTTCGCAGTTCTGCAAATTCAATGTATTTATGAAAGCAATGATCTGTATATATTTAAAGTACAAAACATAAATGAAAATGATGATGTAACACAATGACAAATGGGTAATACATTATCAGCAACAAATCAACAAAGCATCCTTGAGTACCTTAAGGGGCACAACTAGTGTAACCGCCTAAAAAAAGGTGATTTTTGGGAATTTATATTAAAAAAACTACTTCATCAATCATTTCAAAATTCTAGAAATATATTTATGTTTGTTTTAAGAAAACATAGTAAAATTTTTGAAGAAAAAAATTAAATATTTTTAAGTTATCTTCGATCTCCAACAGCGCGACAAAAAGAGGCCCTTCACTGCTGCAGTGATTCCGGCCTTATACGTGGACGAAATAAAAAAAAAATAATAATTCTCGTTAAACTAGATAATATTGCCTGTAAAATGAACTACGATAAAAAAAATAAATCATAAATTGACAAAATGACGGCGTTTTAAAAAAAAGTCGAATTTTACCCAAAATTTTGGTCCAAATTTCGATTTTTGATCCGATCAAAAAATCGATAGTTCATTTTACGGAGAACTATATACAGAACATATAAAAAAAATTGATAGTAATCAGATCATTCGTTTTTGAGTAATCACTGCAGCAAATTCGGAAAATGCTATTTCGAGAAAAACGCGTTTAAAGATAAAATGATCGTTGTACTATATACTATACGATATTTAATATGTTATTTTTAAAGGTGTAATCTACCAAAATATGAAAAAAAACAAATATCGATTTTTTCAAAATTTCACACTAGTTGTGCCCTTTAAATTGAAAATATCTTAAAAATGGTTAACTTTGGAAAAATATTATCCAAAGAGCGTTTGAAGCTTTTAAACATGACACCAACTGATTTTTTTACGTTTCATCGAAATTATGGTACTTTACGTACATTATATTAAAACGCTCTATAAATATCACATAATCAGTACTTCGACAAGTTTTTTTTTTAATTTTTATATTTATAAAATATTATATTAATATTTTTAATATTTCAACTCTGATGATGAGTTAAATCACAGTCTCGAAACATTTGTAACTTGAAAAATATATATAGTGATGTTCGTGTTCATACTAATATAATTAATAAAATGTACGTTAAATTGAATGTACAATATATTGATAAAACATCTGAAAAGTATGTGTACAAATATAATAATTAATTGCCATCAATATTTTATTAATATTTGATTCCTTAACCCCGTCACTCTGTGTTCGTTTTGCCATGAATTTCATCAATTCAATTTCAAATCTACCGGTCGCTGGTCTTTAATTCTTTCCACCAATCGCGTGAGAGGGCATTGGCATTTGGCGCATGCGCACTAGTTCACTTCTGGCACTTAGAATTTCTGCGTCTGTTTCGTATAATGTGCGTTGTGTGGCAATAGCGTGAATAACGCTAAGTCCTCATAAAATCTTGGACTTAGAAAATTTCTGCTCAGTTAAAAAGTGCATAAGACAGGATAATGAGTGTTGATAATACCACTGCCGAACCGAATTCTGGAATTGTAAGTATATTAAATTGCTCGTAATGAGAAGAAATTTAGATTTTATACTGTATATTTTGTGATATAATGCCTTGTTTTTCATCATTTACGAGATATTGTGAGAAAATGGCGTCCAGCGACTAAGTCCCAGAGCATACGTATATGAATGCTTGGAAAATATTTTTAGTGAAATATACTATGTGATAATATAAAATTTGCTTCAAACTAATATTTTTCAAGATCTTGAAAAAAAATCATTCAACAAAAATATTAATTTTAATAATTTTTGCAAAATATAATTACTTAAAACATTGTTATTCACATACAATTTATTAAATAAAAATAAAAAAATATCACTTAATCCTTCAAATAAATACTTTCTTAAAATTTATCATAATATGACACTTAACATTTTTGTGTACCCAGCACCCAAACTTTGATACCTTTATCTTTTAAACATGCCACATAGTAATTTTTATTATTTTAATTGTGTTGATTAACTAATCGGCTTTCAAGTAATTGTAATTTCAATTATATTTATTATATGGTACAGTTATTATAGGTTATGTCACACCGTAATACGTCAGATATTGTCAGAGTTCCTTAAACCTTCTTTCTCAACATCACTTGAAAAATGAGTAAAACTATAATGAAATACTCTATCATCACTATAAACGACCTATTTTCGGATAATTAGTAACCATTTTTTAAGACTTCTAGAATGGTCCACATGTGAACTTGAACGTCCATAAGATGCTCATGTTTATAAAACACCGCCAAGTCATACTTATTTAAAATTATTTTTATTTAAATATTGCATTAATGGCTATATTTTTCTGAAGTCTATTTTATTCATTGAACATACCCATAGTTTTGTTGATATAAGTTTTCCAATATATATATCACTCTACAGGATTAATTTAGATGTCTTGATTGTTCTGCATATTGATTTTTACATACATTTGGAGCATTATATTTTAATTCTTTTGCTCATATTCCTAACTAGATATAAATTATGAAGCAGAACATTCAGATTTGTCTCAATTTATAAACTACATAGAGAACTGAATCACTATATAGTCTCTATTCTTAATCAGCTAAATTGTTAAACCAATAATTTGAAATTAAATATTATATATATAGTTGTTATGTATAATTATCCTCATTATTTTTCTTATTAGCACCAGAATGGAGGAACAGGTGATCATATCAATGGTGTAACCAATGGTTATCCAGAAAAGCATAAATCGAGTCACAAATCTTCATCTCATGACAAACATCGGAGTAAAGATAAAGATAAGGAAAGAAGCAAAGACCATAAAAGCTCTTCCAGCAAACATTCGTCCAGCTCCAGCAGGTTAGATGAATTAAGTTTACTTATACAATAAACATTATGCATGAAGACATCTATGTACAGTTGGAGAGGGTCATTTAGAGTCACACTTAAATTTCCTATTTTTCATTTATTGAAATGAATTTTTCTTGATTTTACTATTAGGGATAAGGACAAGCACTCCAGCAGCAGTAAAGACAAAGAAAGAAGTCACAGTCACAAATCCTCCAGCAAGGACAAAGATAGGGAAGGAAGATCAGACAAGGACAAGAGCAGCTCGAATAAGGAAAGATCTTCAGATAAGGAGAGATCAGATAAAGATAGATCTGACAAAGATAAGCATAGGTCCAAAGAACACAAAAGTAGTTCGAGAGACAAGGATGGGGAAAGGAAAGAGTCCAGCAGTAGTAGTTCTCACCGAGATAAGGACAAGAGTAAACACAAACACTCATCGAGCAGCAGAGATCATGATGATAAATCAAGGTAAGAATAGTTAAAGTTAATAATAATAAGTTATAAAAAAGAATTTGTCTTGGCTTGATTTTTTTGTATTTGTACTTCTCTATCTAAACTAGAATATACCTTTATATATTTTGCATGCTTTGTTATAATGTTTCTTCTATTATCATTCAATTTCAGAAGTAAAGACAAGGAAAGGCACAGGGATAAGGATAAGGAAAGGAGCAAAGATAAACACAGGGACAAACATAGAGATCGAGAGAGTAGCAGTTCTAAAAGTAAATCAAGTGATAGCGGTGATACCTCAACATCTCAAGAAGTTGTTCCTTCAGACAGTGAATTTATTAAACCTTCATTGGTAATTTTTTTTTTAATATTAAAAATTGACTTCATCAGATTTATTGGTTTCTACATGAAGTAATTGTACAGATAAACCCATTGTTTCTTATATCAAGTAAACCTGCTTAATTTATAGTTTTTGTTATTTAAAAACATTATTTATATATGCCAGATTTTCAACATATCCAAGTAGGCATTTTATTTGACATACTTTGTTTATGCAATATTTATATTAAAATACAGTCAAACATGTACCAATCATTAATTTTAATGTAATCATTCTATAATTTTTCATAAAAATAAAGTTTCTTTGCCATTTTTTTAACACCATATAGTACAATTTTCAGAACTGCATTAAGGAGGAAATTGAGAGCCAAGAAATTGAGATGCCGCCCATGAAAATTGAAGTAGACAGCTCTTCAGCATATGAATCTAAAGCACATTTAAATGATTCTCAAAGCTCGTGTGATTATTCAATGACGCAATTCAAAGATGAAGTGAAGGAAGAGCTTCCACCGGAGGAGGAGGAATTAGAAGAAGAAACCTATGAAGATGAGGAAGAAAATAATGAAAATGATCAGGATGAAGATTATGAAGAAAATGTGGAGATCAAGCCAGAAGTCAAAGAGGAAGAACCAGAAGAAGATAGCGAGGAGGATATTCCATTGGTGAGTGATTCAGGATTTTCATATTTAAAGTAATTAATTTAATTTTCCACTCTAGATTACACACTTTTGCTATGAGTCAGTTTTGCTACATATAATGACTACTTGGTAGAGTCATCTCCCATTTTGGGCAATCAAATTCAAATTTTTTGGAAACATTTATACAAAATATGTAATTAATATATTGATTTTAGCTTTAATTTTGTTTAAAACAAAATATGCGGTTTTAGAGTAAAATATACTACTGTTAATACCTGATTATTTAATAACTATATTCTTAATTCTTGTAAGAAGTAATGCATTTAAATTTTTTCAGAATTTCAACTCCCATAAGCAATTGGTATGAGATTTAATAATTTATTGATGTTAATATTGACTGCTAATTCTATTTTTTGTTGCATTTAGTAATTTATTGATAGTATACATGCCTATTTTTAGTTACTTTTTTTCAGCATGTGCTGTTATACAAAACTGCAATAGTTAGTTCATTTTCTTGATTATAACTAATAATTTTTATGAAATACTAATTCAGTTATATAGTTTTTATTTAATTTTTATTTGCTTTTTTACAATGCATAATATTTTGACTCTTAATATTTTAGTAAATTGTCGTTGTATTTCATACATTAAAAAAATCCATAATTACTTGTGTAATTTTGAATTGTAGTTGCACATTCTTTGTATTAGTTATGCACATAGATATTACAAGATGCACTTTAATAATTTTGCATTGGTTCTTGTTTTTTTTACAAAATTTACAAAAATAATAAATTTGAAATTGGTTACTCATAAGGGAGGATTTATCTTTCAGAGTGCTAGAGTCAATAATACCAAAAGAAAAATTGTAAGTGAAGAAGATAGTGAGGAAGACGTTCCTATATCACAACGAAAGAAGAAAAAAACTGAGAAGAAGACTAAAAAGGCTAAGAAACGATCACGTAAGTATAGTTTTTGTTCACATTTGATATTAATTGTATATCAGGAAAAAAATGTAATGTAACTCCTCTGCTAAAACAGATAGATGTTTGACATCATTGAACTTGAGTTAATGGCATTTCTTGTGTGTTTTTTTTCAGATGATGATGATGACGATGATTATGATGATGTGAAGCCTGCAAAAACTAAAGTTAAAAAAGAGAAAACAAAAGTGAAGAAAGAAAAAACTCAAACAAAAGTAAAGACAGAAAATGCTACACAACAGAGCCCGACCAAAGGTAGAAAGAAGAAGGTTGAGGAAGAGCAGGAAGTTTGGAAATGGTGAGATCCATTTTTTTGTTTTTACAAATTCATACATATTTCATTTTTTGGTACATTATGCTGCTTTTATTGATCATAAATTATTTGTTTTTGTTTCTATATTTGAATAGTTGATTAATTTTCGGTATAATGTTCATGATGATTTTATTTAGTTGTGATTATGAATTTGTAAATGCTATGTCGGTTTAAATCGTTTAACATATTTCGGAAAGGAACAATAACAATTAAGGAAATTTATTTCAAATGGTTACAATATTTAATTAAAATGTAGGTATCTATATAATTCAGTTTTATATGGTACCCAGCATAATTAAAGGTATTTTTTATGTGTCACCGTTGTTAATGTTATTATATTTGAATAGTAATAAATTATCAGGAATATAGCAATATTCGTGATGGATTTGCACTGCTTTCTTACAAAAATACTAGAAAATAATTATAAAAATCAGTAGTGGATGTCACCTCGTGTATTATGTAAAACAAAATGGCCGCCATAACTTCAAACAATTTGTACACCTTGCTGAGTATGTTATTTATTTATCATTCTGTTCTTAGCAATTCTAGCTTAAATCATATATAATTTTGAATTCTATGTAGATAATGTTGATAGCTTCTGTTAGAATTAATTTTGTTCCGGATTCTTTCATTTTTTTAAAATCGTTATATTGCAAATTGAGGTTATGTAAACTTGTTTCTTGTCAATTCAGATATTTTATACATACTTCCAAAACCAATTCCGCAAAGCCATTACATAAGAAACAGGTCGTTAGGTATAAATACTACCCTTTATATGTCCTTTTATTCTCTGAACACTTATTTCTAATTTATTTTTAGGTGGGAAGAAGAGAAAAAGAATGATGGTACTAAATGGACATTTTTGGAACACAAAGGACCTTTATTTGCTCCCCCTTATGAAAGACTACCAGAAAATGTCAAATTTCTCTATGATGGCAAAGTTATGGAATTATCTCAAGATGCGGAAGAAGTAGCATGTTTCTATGCCAAAATGTTGAATCACGATTATACTAGTAAACCTGTTTTCAATGAAAACTTCTTCAAAGATTGGCGGAAAACCATGACACAAGAAGAAAAAAATATAATTAAAGATTTGACCAAATGTGATTTTAGGAAAATGAATGCTTACTTTACTGATTTGTCAGAGAGAAATAAACAACGTACTAAGGAAGAAAAGCTAAAGCTTAAAGAACAAAACGAAGCCCTTGTTAAGGAATATGGATTTTGTAAAATTGATGGACACACTGAGAAAATTGGCAATTTCAAAATAGAACCCCCAGGCTTATTTAGAGGCCGTGGTGAACATCCTAAGATGGGTATGGTTAAAAAGCGAGTAATGCCTGAAGATGTTTTATTAAATTGCTCGAAAGATAGTGTTATTCCTGTACCTCCACCTGGACATAAGTGGAAAGAAATTAGACATGACAACACAGTTACTTGGCTTGCATCTTGGACTGAGAATGTGCAAGGACAGGTTAAGTATGTTATGCTAAATCCAAGCTCAAAATTAAAAGGTGAGAAAGATTGGCAGAAGTATGAAACTGCACGTAAATTAGCAAAATGTATTGAGAAAATTCGTGAAACATATATTGCTGAATGGAAAGCTAAAGAAATGAAAGTAAGACAACGTGCTGTAGCATTATATTTTATTGATAGACTGGCTTTAAGAGCAGGTAATGAAAAAGATGAAGATCAAGCAGATACTGTAGGTTGTTGTAGTTTACGTGTAGAACATATAGAGTTACACAAAGAAAAAGATGGCAAAGAATATGTTGTTGTCTTTGATTTTCTTGGTAAAGATTCTATCAGGTATTATAATGAAATTCCTGTTGAGAAGCGTGTGTTCAAAAATTTGGAATTATTCAAAGAAAATAAAAAAGCAGGCGATGATTTGTTTGATCGTCTTAATACTACTGTTTTGAATGAGCATCTACGTGAATTGATGGACGGTTTAACTGCAAAAGTTTTCCGTACATATAACGCTTCGATAACTTTACAAAATCAACTCCAAGAATTGACAGATCCAGATGCCTCCATTCCAGAAAAAATGTTGGCTTACAACAGAGCAAATAGAGCTGTAGCTATTCTGTGTAACCATCAAAGAGCTGTCCCGAAAAGTCATGATAAATCTATGTCCAATCTCCGAGAGAAGATGAATCAGAAGAGAGAGCAAATTGATGAGATGGAAAAACAAGTAAAAGATGCAGCAAAGGCAGCCAAGCGTGGTAGCGTGAAGGAGAAAGTGATTCATGAAAAGAAGAAGAAAGCTTTGGATAGATTGAAAGATCAGTTGAAGAAGATGGAGGTTCAAGAAACAGATAGAGATGAAAATAAAACCATTGCTTTGGGCACATCCAAATTGAACTACTTGGATCCTAGGATATCAGTCGCTTGGTTTGTACTACTTTTACATATTAAATTAACAAATATTTTTTTGAAATCTTTGGCATTACTACTAATATACATGTGCAAATACTTTTATATATTGATTTTTGAATATCACACTTTTTCATTCAAAGAAAAATACAGAAATTTCGAGTAGACTACCATTAATGTAAATATTGGGTAGTTAATTGTTATAAATAAATGATTCATATTATTTTCAGGTGTAAGAAATTTGGAGTGCCAATTGAAAAGGTGTATAACAAAACACAAAGAGACAAATTCAGGTGGGCAATTGACATGGCTACAGAAGATTATATATTTTAGTTGGACAAGCTTGATTTAACACTGTGTTTACCCTCTTTGTAAATAGTACAATTTTAAAACATATTTATATGTTGAACTTTTGGTCAATTTTTTAATAGACTTGACCGGAACTTATGTATAATGCATGGGTAGGCAGTTTTATAGAAGTGAATATGAAACTTAATTTATGAATTAAAATGCATATTTACTCTCTATATTTAAATTTGATTAGTTATTTTATTTCACAATGTAACATGCATTCATGCATTTTACATAATGATTCATTTAAAGCGAATATCTTAAATTATTTTAATACTTGCAACAATAACACAGTTGTTGCTATTTTGACTTACTAGATTAGTATTATAAAAATATTTTTTTAGTATACCATTTACAGAACAATATTTGTGGTTTTCATACAAATGTGCAATTATTTTGTTTATGTATAAGCATTCTGAAATTGCAATTTGTGAACACTAAATTGATTTATTTATATTTTGAACTATTTATGTAGTAAATATATATATACATAGAATTCAAAATTGTATTATATTTTTTTTATATATCAAATAGTTTATATTTGTCTCGACAAAAGTTTTATATGATAGTTAAGTGATTGGTATTCATAAGTAGCTCAAATTTATTTTAAACCTAATAAATATTCATGCACCGAGCATCTACATTTTAATAAACTGCATGAACTCAAATCAGGATGTGCTGTTATATATTATGCGTGTAAGAATTGAATATAAATTTTAGTTTAAAGTATGTGTAATTTTATGAATGACAAATTTTAATTAACTGACTGTTTTGCATAAATATATGAAAGGACTGTGTGCACAGAAAACACATTAATTTTATCATTTTATTAAATTCATACTTCTTTTATAGTAATATTTGAACAATTAGTTTTTAAGAAGTTGTATTCTATTTATACTTATGTATAATATTAATTACATTCTATATCATTTTAACATAAATCTGTAAAAGTAAAATTCAACTTCAAACTGTAAAGTTTAATATTATTATAAATACAAAACAAAAGCAACTGAACTGAAATACAATTCTTTATTTAAAACTCATGTGATAGAAAATAAATCATCTCAGTAAATTTCTTAACATATAATAAAATTGTAAGCAATTGTATGATTAATTGAATAAAGAAATTCTATAAGTACAAAATGAAACTGTTTTCTTAAGCGTTGTAAAGTTTTACAGATGTAAAATATATATACATTTACACACCGGCAAAAGTATATATTCGTACCGTTCTCAGCTGGACCAAGGAGTTGTGTAGGCAAGTACATATAACAGCTCTTGTAACTTTCAAACCATTTGTGCAAAATAAATAAAACATTCGAAAAACTTGTCCAAAATTGAATTACCTTTAACATTGTCTAACACCACAACATACTACAACAACTCGGTATACTCTAAAACTTAGCTTAACCGTATATTTTGTTTTCCTGCAGGTCGCAATGTTAAAACTGAAGATAATCCTGTCGACGATCCTTCGTAATTTCCGCGTTCACAGCGATTTAACCGAAAAGGACTTCAGGCTTCAGTTCGACATCATCCTGAAACGAGCCGAACGATTCAAGGTGCACCTGACACCCCGGAGACCCGGAAGTTCCGTCAGGACATTGAAGGCGTAACCGGAACAAAAAGACAAGAATTGAGAGTTTGAGACATCGGAAGTGTGTATTGGACGATGAAATTGATACAAGCATATAAATATATATGCAATATGAAAAATTTGAGAAAATGTTATGCACGACGTTTCGAAAGTGCCATTATCAGACACAAACTTTTGTAAAAATAACTTTTTGTGATAAAACACTTAAAGAAGTGAATTATGCACTTTATGCAAAAAATCAAATGATGTAATATGCTTGTATCAATTCATTATTTTTATTTATTCAATCATGAATTTTTTGTAATTATTGCAAATTTAAATAATTTTTTTATCATATATATCCATTTTTCGCATGTAAGTAATCTATGACGAGAGGGATGTTAGAAATATTTTGTATATTTTATTTAATTAGTAATTATTATTTTTATATAATTTGTGTAATTATGATGAAATAATTTTATGTGTGTATGGATATTTACAAATGTTGTTTTCTTAATTAATTTCATGTAATTGATACAACACAATTCAGATAATAAAAAAAGAAAGAAAACTATGCTAGACTCATCTTTCACCTATGCTCTTACTTATACCCTTCTTTTACTAGATTAAATTACTGCCAAAAGGTTGATACTAAAAACTGTGTTACCAGTCTATATAAATATATATTCTGTGCTCTATGTTTAATTTTGTTGTAAATATTTTTGAAATATATCAACAGTCTGTGCTGTCAAGTACTTGGTTGAACAAGTGACTTCTTAGACAATATAATAACAATTAATAATTAATAACAGTTATTCATATCATAAATTTAAATAGAATTTAAGTGTGTGTTTTGCGAAAATATGATTTAGGTAAGTACAAAATAATATTTGATATTTTAACTTTAAGGGACTGCGGTTCGTGTTTATGTATTTATAAATATTTTGGCAAACTGTTGGGCATAATTCTAAACAAATATTTGTTTCAACACATTATGATATTCAATTAAGTCCAAAACGATGATTAATACATGAATTTGTTACTTTAAACGTCAAAAGTGAATTAAATCGTTTAAGGTTAAACGCCAACGTCAAAATTGACAGTTGCTTTCGGGTTGGAAATGTCTGTTGTGACAGGTTTATTTCCAAATGTGTTAATTATTAAATATTTTATTCGAGAATAAAACCACAAAAACTTGGTGAAAAAATCCGTGGATATCTTTAAATTAATCAAGTAGAACAGGTCGCATTTAGTTAATTTTTTCTTACTATTTCAAAACTGCTCAAAGTCAGAAATATTTCAAAAGAGGAAAATACTTTTTTTCATTGTTCAAACAAAAAGTGTGTTTTTTATACAAGGAAATACGTTTTTGAATGTTTTCTTTGAAAATAAATATTTGTGTATTAATTGTCGTGTTAATAATATTTATTAAAAGTGCAGTTGTTATCAATATTTCAATATTTACATCATAGAAGGGTCAAAATTCTAAAATGCTCTTTGTAAGTAATGTTTTTTTTTTAATCATATGTACCATTTTCAATTAAATTAGTTAATTAATTTAATTGATAAAATAAAAATTATTTGTTTAAAAAAATTGCACAAAATTAAATTACCAACATTTTTTTTAAATATTGGAATACTTGAAAATATCATTCAAAACCATAATAATGATTTTAGCGACCTAATAGTATAATTATGCTGTATAAGATTTATGAATCATTAACTATATTGAATTCATGGACTACTATCCACGGATTTTATCAAACAAATTTTATTCAATTGCATTCAATATGCGAGTTTGGGACATTTTTTTACATTTTGCCAAATGTTTTGGAAATTTTATTCTGAACACTTTTATATGTTTATTTTAGCATAAACTAGATAAAATTTGCTAGAATTTAATGTATATTGTTATATTCACTTTTATATTATATTAAAATTTTGAATAATTTGTAGTTGCGCCATGAAGCGCAGATTTGAGTTTGATAATTGGCTATAGGTTGATTTTGGATGTTTTCTTACATTTTGTCAAATAACTTTAAAACTATGTTCAGAACATGTTTATTTGTTTATACTAATATAAACTAGAAGAAATTTACTAACAAATAGTATAAATTGTGTTATATACTTGCATATCAAAATTTTGAACCATTTTCAGTTGAAACGCAAATTTAAACGTAATATGTAGATTTGGGACTTTTTTTTACTTTTTTCCAAATAACTTAATTTTCTTTTCGGGCACGTTAATTTGTTTACATTAGTAAAAACTATATCAAATTTACTGGAATTTAGTACAATCTAGTGCATATAGTTGGATACTAAAATTTCGTGTAATTTTTAACTGGAACGCGAATTTGTCTATGTACATTTTATCAAACAACTTGAAAATTTTGTTCTAGGCATCTTAATTTATTTACATTAGTGAAAAATAGATAAAATTTAGATTTATAAATCATAAACCATATTAAAAGCATAGACTGCTATTCATGCTTTTGTTACAACTACAGTGATGATATCAAATTATTCGATTATAATAAATGATTTATTTTAAGTTGAATCCATGAATACTATCCATGGATTGTTTTAAGAGCTTTTTTTTTAAACTTTGGAAGTGATACTCGTATCAAGTTATTCGATTAACATGAATAATGTAACTATTCGGCTGTACTTACCTACAAATTATTCGAATGTTTTTATTTTTTCACTAAGTTTTTGTGGTTTTATTTTCAAAAAAATATTCAAAGCTTACTTATTGTTACTAGTCTGGTATTAAGTAACAAATAATCTTATTTGAAATGTATATCCTTAAAATAAATATTTATTCTTATTACAGGTACTTATGCACTTATAGGAACAGGAACCATAAAATCTGGGTCTCCCCTATACTAAAAGAAATTTATGATCAAGAACTTATTGGACAAAATTTTTGGATGATTTTTTTTACACCAAGGACGAAATTATCCTGTTTGATGAGCTTTCAGGGCGTGTACCACTGAAAAACAAGAAAAACTTTGGTTGCAATATCGGAATTTTAGCAAAAAAATAGATTTGTTTTCGCTATTTTGGATTTTTTTTGACTGATTCCAAAAGATTTTCGGATGCTGATTTCAAAAATGCTATCTATTTTTGGTTAAACCCACATACACTCCGCGAAAAATCAAAATCTTTGGTTGCAAAATCGATTATTTTTTAAAAAAAAATTTTTTTTCCGCGATTTTCAAAATGTGATGATTGGAAAATGATAGGTTTTGATTGATTTTGGGACGCTGATTTCGAAAATATTATCCGTTTTTGGATAAATCCACATACCGCTACGAAAAATCGAAATCATTGGTGGCAAAACCAAAATTTTACTAATGAAATTAATTTTTTTTTTCGCGATTTTCAAAATGTTTTGACCGATTCTGATAGTTTTCGAGGCGCTGATTCCGAATATGAAATTAGTTTTTGGAAAAAAAAATTCTTCTGCCTTTGGTACCAAATTAAAGTTTGAAAAATTGCCAACTTTAAAGCTGATTTTAACTATGAAGACGATGATAAATTTGTATTTTTTTTGGTTTGGTATAAAGATTGTACTTTAGTCTACACAAAGCATTAATTAAAATTATTAATTTCATTCATTAAGTGCCTTAAAATTGCATCTGAAAGTCACGATTTTGGCCAATTTTGGCTGCTCCTGATAGACTGTCTTTTTATCGAAAAAATAATAAGATTTTTAAATTACACCAAAGTAGGTTTGGTTTACTGCTAACCAGGCGTAAATATGAATTTATTAAAAA